CAAAAGCAAGAAATCATGTTTTATTGAACAAAATTGTTAAAATACATAATGTATTATAAACAATAGAGCTAATGTACATTACGCATTACAACAAAGGCTTGCAGAGGGTCAACGGCCTGATGATTATTTTTACACATTGATGTGCGATTTAATCCTTGTTTAATATTGACCAAGCACCACTTAATTCAAATGTCCACTTAATCTTTAATATTTGGCCATTTCTTTAGGACAGAAATGCTATAGCCACCGCGCTGCGCACGTATACAAACATTCAGGAGGACACAAACCTCTTGAGAATGCTGCCCCGTGACTTTTATTAATAAAATAGATTAAATACCACCGCTAGTGTAACTTTGTTTTCGTTTTGCGCAAGCTGCAACAGCTCCATTCCGTGTAACAGAAACACTCGGTTTAGCGGAACCTTTACGATTAATTAACCGTGACGTTTTAAAGCACGGTTAATTGCGAAACCGGTTAATCGCTGCATCCCTACTATATACCTGTTGCCATTATCTGACCCTTGCCTCTCTCTAACCATGTCTATGAATAAAGCCTTGCATTTGGATCCGCAGGTCTCATGTCTCGTCAGCCCCGTAACACAAGGTCTGAGGTAAAAATGTAGTTTACGCCAATACGTTAATGTAGTTTATAATAATGTATTATTTTTCAAATGTTTTATTTTAACTTGTTATTTAAAATGTTTTAAATGTAACAATGGTAATTTGATGGTAACATAAAATGATGGTCATTTGAATGATAATTCGTTTTTTTTTCTTTTTCTGTCGTGTAATCAACTAGTTTTCAGTGTCGACTAGTAGGAGCTGTACCGTTTAGTCGACTAGACCCGCACATCCCTAATATATATATATATATATAAATACAACACTGGATTATACTATGCAAACACTAAGGAAAAGAGCAGTCTGGACATACATGTTCATGTCATCCATGACAAAACGCATGAGCTGTAATAAAGCTGGAGGGAAATTAAGTATTTGTGCAGCCATTGATCTCTGTCAAAGTATAGAAAAATCTACACCACAGATGGGACTTGCCAGGGGTTATGTAAAATGAATTAAAGGGCAAAAAAAAAAGATGAAAATCAATATGTGATCCATTAAGGAGTTAAGTGCTGTGTTCTGACAGGTGGCTCTGTCCCAGGCTGCTCACGTCAATGATGGAAAACCGTCCGAGCGTAAATAATGTAGGAATAAATCAGCCAGAAATGAATCCTCTCATCGTTCAGGAGAGGAAACCCAGCGCAGGACTAAATCACACCAAACAACATCAGCTTCTGAAGCCATCTATGAATGCGGCCGTTTGCTTTCCCCGTGCTTTGGAGCATGTGCGGTATTTGCATGAAGGCTGTCTCTCAAGACGATGAAAGATTCATCAAAGAGTCCGGTCCTGCTTCGAGTGTCAGCCAAGGCGCCGGAGCTGTCAGCAGCCAAAGAAGAAATCACACTGCTTTTCAATTTTAGCACCACGTCCACCACCTCAACCCATGTAGACGCTTTATGTTATATGCATGCGTATATGTGAAAGGGTAATGAGAAATGCCTGGCAGAAGTAGAAACTATATTGATCTGAAGCCTCCCAAGAAAACCTAAACGTGTCTTCTCTATGCAGATGAGGTAGCCATCATCCTCCAATGATGATTTAGTCATGTGGTGTTAAGAGGAATCCTATAATGGGTTTGGTCTCCAAAAGATTACATTTTCCAAAGCCCAGTGAGATTTTAAAGCCAGACACATTTACTAAGATCTCGCGCTGCGGTTTAACAATGTGAGCGGCTACCTGAAGGCTATCTCCTGTAATCAACATTTCTCAGTTCGGGTCACACATTATTACAAAGGTAGGCAGGAGGGCGTCTCATTATCCTGAGTGTCTGAGATTACTACGCTGAAGGACTTTCATCAGCGCTGTGCTTGAATCCTGGACTCTGTGCTGCCCCCTTTGTATTCAACCATGTCGTGCCTCCCTAGTCAATACACGGTGATGAAACGAGCTTGCGTCTTGCTGAGAGAACAATAATGTAGTGTTCAAAGATTTATATTGCTGTTAGACTATTTTCAACAAGGGAGATAGTGGAAACCTCCACTGTTATCTGAAACTATGTTTGACAACCAACTGTTTACTTCAACAGACAGTGTTTGGTTTCGACACACACCCATTTATGTAACCCATCATACGAAATCTCAGTGCGGGATGACATTAAGAGGTCACGTCTCATTAAAAGGATTGGATTAGGCTGGGCGGTATGATGGCATAATGTGTCAACTGTAGAGATTGTGCTGTAGGGTTTGTGTGGCGTTATAATAATAATATAATAATTTTTAAATATTATTACAATTTAAAATCACTATTTCCTATTTCAATATATTTTAAAGTGTAATATATTCCTGTGATGCAAAGCTGAATTTTCAGCATCATTACTCCAGTCTTCAGTGTCACATGATCCTTCAGAAATCATTCTAATATGCTGATTTGCTGCTCAAGAAACATTACTTATTATAAATGTTGAAAACAGTTGTGCTGCATAATATTTTTGCAGAAAGCATATTTATTGATTAATTGATTTATTTCAGAATCCTTTGTGAATAGAAGTTTCAAAAGAAGAGCCTCAATATAAAACAGAAGTCTTTCGTAACTTTATAAATGTCTTTAATGTCACTTTTAATCAATTTAATGCATCTTTGCTCAATAATTATTTTTAATAATTATTATATAAAAAGTATTTTTTAAACAAACAAACAAAAAGATATATCTTACTGACTGATATATATTATCCTATTCAAGAGAATTAATAAAACATGAAATACAAAAAACAACTGCAACATCATCCAAGCTCAAGCTTGTTGAGTCATTCATCCAGCATAAGTAACAGGTTACCATAGGAACTCATCTTTCTTCTGCATCACTACTATAGCTATTCTGTGCTAGTTGGAGGAAGAGTCACTGTGGAGATGAGAGATGGCTGTTCTGTTGAAGGGTCTGCCTTACATCAACACAACCACACAAGTACAGGCCCGATGAAGCTCACACAGTGAGCCGTTCCCTCTCCGGACAAACCGCACAAATGAAAGCGTACACTATCACTGAGAGCACATTTGCTGCAGGACACAATGAGAAAGCCCTGAGTATCAGCGGAAAATGCCACTCTTTTGATTTGAATCAGATCCTTCACGTTCTGCCAGATGCTGCTGGGAAAATCTCATTTACAGGAGGGGAGATCGGAAATATGAGCAAAGTTCTACATTAGCCTGATTCAATGAAGGCTTGGAAATGGGCTTTGTGTATGTGCTTCAGGTCACGCTTGAGAGTCCAACATCTTTTTGGTTTCAAAAAGGCTTTCAATTTAGCAGAGTGGGCACAGAGCTTCCTGGATGTGCCGGGATCTTAGAATGAGCTCTAAGTGGGATGGTGTGTGTGTGTGTGTGTGTGTGTTTGTTTGACTTGGCTCAACGTCCGGGCAAACAGCCAGACCACCGCGACAAGACAGACCTGAGGCCACTGTGGCTCTCCTGAGAGGTCTATTGTGTACTGCCAACTATAAATGTCACCGATTTCCAACAGTTTCACACAGAGATTCAAGGAAACTGTGTCTTTAAAAGCGCAGGAGCCGAGAACAAATGCCAGCTACAAGCTTCCAGCTTCCTTCAGGCAGCATGTCAATTATAGCCAGCTTGCATATCAAATCCTTTGGCCATAAGCACATATTCAGTCTGGTAAAACCTGAAAAAAACATCTGTACACTCCAGGTTTACATACCTCTTTGCCTGAGAGATAATAGGCAGACAGCAGGCCTCCAACAAAACGGATGTTCACTTCAAAGACGGAGATTTCGGCATTCTGAAAGAATAAAACACAGGACAACAAAAAGATGTGAATAATAAAGCTCATAAAAACACTGTGACTGGCTCACCTTGAACTGCAGACTGTAAAAATATGGGGGGGGAAATGAATACGCACTACAAACACACTTCGCCCTCACACACCAAATACAAAGAAAGAAAACAATACAACAGAGCTGATAAAGCTCTGCTGGGATTGAGCACAGATACAAACAAGATCCCACGGGAGGGTAAAATCTGAGTGCGGATATTTTTTTCTACGGATCTTGGAAGCCATGACTGCTGGGCTAAGGTGGTTTCCTATGGTGCATGTAACATGAACAAAAACATCACTCAAAGGATAAAGAGCTAAAAAGAGAAGATGCTTCCGAGACTATCTTTCAAATAATAATAATCAAAAAACCTAATATTTCAACAGAAAACCTTTTTGATGTTATACTTACATCTTATATTTATCTGCAGTAGAGAATACTTGCAGCACCATTACATCTGACAATATGATTTTAAATACATTGTTTTAAACCAGTGCTCTTAGACAGGTGGTACACAGAACAACCCTGGAATTTTACATTATAAAAAATATGTATAGTATTAATATTTTATTACTATAATCTTTACATATAAAATAAAATATTTAAATGATTATTATTAATATAAATTATTGTAAATTTTATATTATAAAATACAAAATTGTAAATATTTTATATATATATATATATAAATATATATATATATATATATATATATACACACACACACACACACACACACACACACACACAAAATATATA